AAAACTCCAAGATAGCTAGATAAATAGCTTGTTATGGTAAATGTCCCTTTTTTTTTCTTTCTTTCTTTCTTTTTTTTTTTTTTTTTTTTTTTACACTCACTATTGTCTGTAAAGCTGAATTTCTGTTCAGTAGTTGCTACATCATCTCACTCATTTTCTGGCTTTTCTTCCAAAGCTCATAGACTTAATGCTGGAGTGCTCCTGATCTACACATCCCTAGGGAGAACAGGCTTTACTTAGCTAACAGAGTTTTGCTCTGAAGCCTCTGGATGTATCTTTTTTTACAGTCAAAAGGAGAATTCTAGAGTAACCTTGCAACCCATGTTACTTCTCTAATTGACAAGATATATTCAGACCGCTCACTTTATTGACTGAAAGTGGTTTAGTGCTGACCTTGACCAAGTAGATAACCAGACGGGATTCTCTCTGATTAGGTTTTTAATCATAATTGAAACGATTAATCAGAAAATAAACACGTACTTGTTCTGGGAATAGTTCTAATTCTCAGGTCTTGAAAACAACACATAGCAAAAGCTGTTCACTCAAAGTAAATACAATATTTAGCTGATTGTTAAATAATCTCAAGTTGAATGCTTTGCTTTTATATGCTATATTACAATTTTTATATGTCATTCAGAATGCAGAATTATTAATCTAAGCAACACTTTAAAAAAAACAGGGAGAACCAGGTCCAATGGGACTACCTGGACTGGAGGGATTTCCAGGAGAAAAGGTAAGACTTTATTAAAGAAAAATATCCTCTCTTCTTTTCAATTGGTATTGTTGTTTCTTTCGTATATCTACAGTGTTTATTGGCAGGGAAATGTTTCTTTCATTTAAGAGGCTGTTCACATGTTGATGGTGTCTATCTGCAGCAGAATGTTTCATGAAAGATTGGATCTGCATATGTAGAAATGTTGCATGCCTACTGTATTTTCATTTTCTGTTTAAATCTTGGTCTAAATAATACAATTAAATCAATGTAAAATTCCATTTTTTCAGGAATAACAAGTTGTGTGTAATCAACCTTCCATCCTTTACCAGTCGTTCATTCTATTCCATTAGTATTAGAACAGCCACTTTGATTTTACTAAACAAGCTACTTCCTTGATTAATGCTGATTAGAAGTGCAAAGCACTCCTTAGCAGAAGACACGAACCCTTTGATATGCCCCTAGGTATGTTCACTGGTTTTTATTCCCCTTGACCAAACATCATCTTCCTCATCTAATCTAGTTATGCTGTCCATTATAAATGCATTTCTGAGGCAAAGATCCCACCTGATAGTGCTATAGTCTAGTACTGTAACCCTCAGACTGACTGCATGCAGGACTTTTACAAAGAAGGCTAATTTAAATGAGACTAAAAATCTAAGCAAAGTGGACCTAATCCAGAAGATGCTGAGAACCTGCAACTTCCAGTGGGGCCAGTCCTGCTTCCAATGAAGCTAAAGGCAACTCTCTTGCCTTGTAGGATTTGACCTGCTATTTTTAAATATGTGGATTGTAACCATTTTTGTTTTGCACTTCTTATGTTATAATGAGTCTGTATCATAGAATATTAGGGTTGGGAGGGACCTCAGGAGGTCATCTAGTCCAACCACCTACTCAAAGCACGACCAATCCCCAACTAAATCATCCCAGCAAAGGCTTTGTCAAGCCTGACCTTAAAAACCTCTAAGGAAGGAGATTCCACCACCTCCCTAGGTAACCCATTCCAGGGCTTCACCACCCTCCTAGTGAAAAAGTTTTTCCTAATATTCAACCTAACCCCCGGCCCCCCCCACTGCAACTTGAGACCATTACTCCTTGTTTTGTCATCTGCTACCACTGAGAACAGTCTAGATCCATCCCCTTTGAAACCCCCTTTCAGATAGTTGGAAGCAGCTATCAAATCCCCCTTCATTCTTCTCTTCTGCAGACTAAACAATCCCAGTTCCCTCAGCCTCTCCTCATAAGTCATGTGCTCCAGCCTCCTAATAATTTTTGTTGCCCTCTGCTGGACTCTTTCCAATCTTTCACGTCCCTCAATCTTATGGCAATGCCTCTACTTATACAGCTCAAAATGCCATTAGCCTTGTTGGCAACAAGGACACACTGTTGACTCATATCCAGCTTCTCGACCAGTGCAACCCCTTGGTCCTTTTCTGCAGAACTGTTGCCTAGCCATTTGGTCCCTAGTCTGTAGCAGTGCATTGGACTCTGCACTTGTCCTTGTTGAACCTCATCAGATTTCTTTTGGCCCAATCCTCTAATTTGTCTGGGTCCCTTTTGTATCCTATCCCTACCCTCCAACGTATCTACCACTCCTCCCAGTTTAGTGTCATCTGCAAACTTGCTGAGGGTGCAGTCCATGCCATCCTCCAGATCATTAATGAATCATTATGTATAATGATAATCATAATGAATCATTATGTAGTCCCTTCTGGAGAACATCTGATCCCCAAGCATGGTAGAGTCCATTTGCTCCTCCTTCCGGCTTTGTGTCCCAGTTTAGGACCAATGAGCACTGGGTTCTCTGGAATTCATGGACTGATGGCAGGTCTCAGCCCTTAACTTGCTAGTCACTGAAGCTAAAGTGCATTCTCAGTACACAGCTAGTGGCCTGGTGAATAACTTCATATGCAACCCTTGTGACTTCTAGGACATTACAAATTAAAAGCAACTGTAGACCAACCAAGTTTAAAAAGGAATAAACACATTATTAAGAGAAAGGATATGATTAATTTAGAAGACAGGAATTAGGTAAAGGGAAAAGGCAAGGAAACTGATTAATGAATGAACAGATTAAACCCCACAACCACAATCAAACCCTTCCTGAAATAAAGATATTCTTCTAATAAGCCAATACAGTTAAAATCCCACATAGACTATACAAATAAATAGGTGTGATCCCAGAGTCTGCCTGCAAGTCCCAGGTGGCTAGTGTGAATTCTGTTGTTGTGTTGGAGCTCTGTAGGGCTGACAGAACAGAGGTAAGTTGTGCAGTGAAATAATCATGTGGCAGGCTTGACCACCACATATGTGCAGTGTAGTGTCACCCACCCCTTTGATTCCAGGTGAGTTTTTAATAGGCTATGCACCCACAAACCAGGGCTTTCCTTACCCCTGGCATCCCTTTCTATCTATCTAGGTGATGTATCCCAAGTATTCATTGTTAAAGATTCAAGGCAGATCCCTCATTGGGTGGAGCAGATCCCAGGTGGCTCCAACCCTGGCTTTCCCTTGTTTTACAGGGCAAGAGAGGCCTAATGGGTGAGGCTGGCAAACAATCTTCTCCCTATGAATTCTTCTTTCCCTCTTGGGTTTTGCTTGGTTATTGGTTGGGTGGAAGAAGTGGTTTTGTTTCACAGACACCTAGGGGAGATGGAACATCCTCTGGGAAACTGGGTGTTTCCTATTGGCCAGGCACTTGTGGCTGACAGGAAAACTGGAAGTTTTTTTGCCTGCTCTACAGAGAGGTCTATCTCATACCCTTGCTAACAGCCAGTACCCAACCACTGACTCCCATCACTTGAGCACAGTGCCCGTCCATGAGCAGGACATGGATGGGCAGCCTCCGCCATTTGGAAGTGGTTGTAGCCTCCAGGTGGCTGCCCGAGCATTTCAGTCAGGCCTCTAGCCTGGTGACTCCTCTTCTCTATCCCAATCCCTGGTGCTGGTTGTGGTCTCATTCACATGCTAAGACAAGCTGTTTCAGTTGCTGCGGTCTCAGTCTCTGCACTACACTCCATCTGTGAGAGCTCCTGGGAGCTGCCTTTCTGAAGCCCCCAAAATGTCAAGAGGCTACATGTATTTTATCTGTGGTCTGCACCAAATGAAATGCCCAAAAGACTTTGAGACGTAGCATCTAGTTAATGTCAATCTCTACTGTAATATGTTATTCATGCATTTTTGATCTGAGGGTCTCAAAACTCGTTAAAGACAATTAATTTGTTCACACAGTACCTTGTAATGTAGTTGTGTTAGTTATTACCATCATCGACCCTATTTTATATATGTTGAAACTGAGGTACCCTGAATCAAAGAAAAAATCTATAGTAAAGGCAGTAGTAGAACTAAGAACTCCTAATGCTCTTAGACTCCCTTCCTGTGTAATAGCAGGACCCTGCATAAAGCTATAATGTTGGTATTAGTGCCAACTATTTTAAGGTGACATGAAAGAAAAAGATGGTGATACAATACTGAATTATACTTTGTTAATTATGGTCACTGCCATGAGTATAAATGAGGGTTATTTGAAGATCTACATGTTGGTCAGATACTTGATCCTGGTCCATTTTAAAGCATTTTTAACATTAACTTTCACCTGAATATCCCTTTGACATAGGACAAATACACATGACATTACAGACAGGGAACTAAAACAGAAAGGGTTATGTGACTTACTCAATGCCAAAAAGAGTCAATGGCAGAACTAAATATAAGAATTCAAACAATCCTGCCTCTCCCATTTTAATCATATCTTCATTAACTAATACTGTTTGAAGACTCTGTGTTCTCATTTGTTGGAAATATTACAATGCAGTGGTATCTTTTCTATAGGGAGATCAGGGACCTACTGGTTCACCAGGAGCACCAGGGTTACCAGTGAGTATGTTCATGAAAGAAACAGCTTATTTCTTGGGAAAAGTTGAAAAAAATGCCAAAGCATAAAAGATGCTCATCCACACTACTCATTACTATTTGTGGAGTAATGTTTGCTAGAAATTTTATAGACATGTATCAAGATGAGCTCCTTGACCAACAGAGTTTCCAATCTTAATAACATCAAATGATACCCTTTTTAATAAAATGACAGCAGAGAATGAGATAAATGTGTGATACAGGTCTGAATTGAAGGCTTCTTTTATATATACTGTGTCAAAACAGTATACAAGATTGTTCTGAATCTCCTCAGTTTATTTAAAGGCAAATGAAGAAGCCATTTTATTTATTCTTGGAGATAAAAAAGCCTCTGAACTTATATCTAATATGTTGACATTAGGAGATGTCTCTGAAAGGCATTTAAGCTCACAGGGGCCAGCCAGAAATTTTGTTGTAGGTAAAGATAAATGCAACTATAAACTTAAACTATAAACTTTAGTTGTTCATTTTAATTGTTCATTTCTTTTCCTATATGAAATAAATGCAACTTTTCTTTAGATTGCAATTTCAGTTCACTTAAAAAGATATCCTCAGTTTTTCAGCAGGCAGTATGATAACAGCAATCAGTTTATGCAAATAAACTCATTACTATTAAATTTGGGAAGCTCCCAACCAGCTCAGGAACTGCTTTTTAATTATGAATGTGTGTCATGAATTTAAAAAGGTAGTCAATATCTCTACATTCAGTTTCCATTAGCCACTGTTCCAATAAGAGAAGAACACCAAGATTAAGCCGTTCAATTTAATTACGATCTTGTAAAATAAGTAAAAAGTGTACATCCAAAAAAAAGGAAAGAAAAGAGAAGTCATTTATCTGAGTCTCAGAGATAGCATAAGAGCTTCAAGGCATGTTGCTGTAGAATCAGAATGTATCAAATGTTGGACATTATGAATTCAATAGTGCAGTAGCAAATTAGACTAATCATAAATGAAGCTACAATTTAGTCAGAGATATTTTTAGTAAAAGTCATGGACAGGTCATGGGCAATAAACAAAAATTCATGGCCCATGACCTGTCCATGATTTATACTATAAATACCCCTGACTAAATCTTGGGGAGATGCTACTGCGGAGGGGGGTGCACCCAGGGTTGGGGTCTGGGGTCAGGCGCACCAGCTGCCAGGGGCCCCTGGAGCAGCAGTTTCTCTGGCCGCCCTGGGGACCGCTGCTCAGGCATTCCCCAGGGCCAGCTGCACCGGCACTGCTCGGGCAGTCCCCAGGGCCAGCCGTATCGGCCACTGCTCAGGCGGTCCCCAGGGCCAGCTGTCCCAGGCCACCTGAGCAGCAGTCGGTATGGCTGGCCCTAGGGCCGCTCCAGCAGCGGCCAGTGCTGCTGGCTGTGGGACCGCCCGAGCAGCTGGCTGCAGAGCTGCTCCAGCAGCAGCTGGTGTGGCTGTCCCCGGGGCCACCTGAGCAGCCCGCTCCAGAGCCAGCTGCTTGGGCAGCCCTGGGGTCAGCTACAGTAGCTGCTGCAGAAGTCATGGAAATCGCGGAAAGTCACGGAATCCATGACTTCCGTGACCTCCATGACAGACACAGAGCCCTAATCATAACTGTTCATTCCCTGTGGATTTCTCAATGGTTATGTCCCAAGTCATGTTTCAGTCAGTGTAAAGTATTGTTCTCAATTCTGGCTGGATACAAAATATTTAATGAGTTTGTTTCATCTCTGATGTAAAGCATCCCATTGTGATTCTGTGAAGGCCTGTAAAATAAGGTATTTGCTTTAACATTTTATACTAAACAATTTTCATGAATAAATTGAAAGATTTATGACAGAACCATTATAGTTTATTAGTCTGGGAAGAACATTGGGAGTTTTTCCAGATATCTTACCGTAGGGGAGATTGGTCCTGTTTGACTGCATTTCATTCCCTAGAATCTGGGCAAGCAACTTTTTTCCCAGTTGGGGATATCAAATATCTCTTTGTATTTTAAGCTGTTTTCTGAGTAAGAGTTTTAGAGAAACTCATACTTAGAAACTGAAAAAAACTCCAGAGCCCCCACTTGCATAGAGCTAATCCTTCATTCCTTATGCATCCAAAAATTCTACAGCAGTCAGTGGGTCAGATCCTCAACTGGTGTAAATCACCATAGCTCTGTTGGTTTTGTTTAAAAAGTACAATTAGAATAAAAGAGAGTTATGTCCATTATATATTTCCTGTATTTATCAAATATCAGAAGGGAAAACATTTGTGGGGGTTTTTTGTTTGTTTGCTTCTTGTGAGTATACAAGCTGTTCATGTCATTCTTTTAAACTTCGGAAATACCTTCTTCAACATGCCCCTTCTTTATATTGTAAGTGGTGGGGGAGAAAGGAAGAACATGTGTGGTATTAACTGTTTCAGCTTGTTTCAGCTAAGCCAGGGTATCAGAATTCTTTGCTGTAGATACAGAGTTAGTACAGGTCTAATCATGTGTTAGGAACTGATGAGTGACAAGATGGAATTGAATGTTAGATGAGTTGGAGGGTATGATAAGTTAGGCTCCTTAGCTTAAGCAGATGCTGTCCTACAATGGACGGACACATTTGAATTGATGATACTCTGCACTACCTTGGAAAATGGGTGTAGTCAACTTGGACTTACAATAAATGCCAAGCGGAGAAAGTGTTTCATTTTGGAACATGGACAATAGATAAAGTGTTGAAATGCAGCAGGGGAGTTGTAGAACAAGTAGAATCTTATGTGTACCTAAGAAGCTCGATCAGTGCCAACAGTTGCATCAAGGATGAGTTTAAAAGGGGATGTGCCTTAGCCACAAGTGCTGCACAGAAATTGGTGAAATCATGAACTGAAAAAAACATTACATTTGGTACCAAAATGAAAATTTATCAGACTAGTGTATTGACAGTATTACTCTATGGGCTGAAAGCAGCTGCCTTAAATGAAACAGACATCAGAATGCTGGAGGCAGTAAAGATGAGAGTTCTTTGAAAGGTGGCAGGTATAAAGTGGAATGATTTAAAGACATAGTCAGGAGAATAGGATGTGAAATCAGGGTAAGAGATTAGCCCACAATTGAAAAGATTATGAGGGTGGGGACACTGCAGAAGGAAAACTGATGATAGGATGCCAAAGAAAGATCATCCAAACACAACCAGTGTCTGTCAAATCTGAAGGCCAACCACCAACTAGATAGCAGGACGTCATGTGCAGGAACATGAGCAGGCTGGGTGTAATGGAGCAACAAGTCATGGACAGGAAGGAATGGAAATGCTGTACTGCTCCCATGTCTGATAGATTATCTGGGATGAAAATAAGATGACTTGGAGAGTGATTTCACTTGGCTAAACTAAGCAGTATTTGTTTTTGGACAAGGAATTAGATAAATATGAAACAAAAATAAACAACTGTGTTTTAAAGCATTTCTTACAAAATACTTCTGAAAGGTCTCCGAAAGCATTTAGTGATGTGTTAATTACATGAACATTTTGACCAAATAAGCATAATATTTTCTGTTTCATTTAAAGAAAATTGATATTTTAGGTCTGTTAATTTAGATTTTAAATGTTTCTCTTTGGTCTCCCTCCACAGGGAAAGACTGGATCTCCAGGACCACCGGGAATGCCAGGGGAACCAGTGAGTGCATGTTTGAACTCTGGCTTATTATGTTGCCATTCCTACATATTAAATATAAAATGGAAGATTTTATATATTTGTGTGTGTTCTTCTCATTTAAGGGTGGAAGAGGCCCTGTAGGAGACATCGGCTTTCCTGGGCCAGAAGGGCAATCTGGAATACCAGTAAGTAATTAATCACATACCTAGTGTCTCTGATAAGCATAGGCTAGTGGTGGCTAGCCTCTCCTGGCTGCCTGCACTGCTGTGACTACACTCTACTTTTAGTACACTAGCTCAAATATGTCTCCTTGAGCTTGGAATCACACCCAGCTCCAAGTGTAGACATACCCTTCATGTGCTACACTCAGCCTTGTCAGAGATTACAGAATAAATAGATTTGACCCTGATAATATATGGATAGGTAACCTCAAATGAACATCTGGTGCTGTAGAACCAGGCATTGGTCATGCAAGTCCAAGTTCATGCTGGATGAGGTTTGGGATTGTCATGGGTAGTTATGTTATTGAATATGTCCTGAGGGCCCTTTGAATCCTGTTGACAAAAATGATCCCCTACAGTTTTGTTTTGTTTTTTGGAGTAGGGATGTTAATCCAAGAATTCATACCGTCCATAAAAGATGGCCTGCCCAAATTCCTAACTTCAGATTAGTAAAAAAATGTTTAATTCATAACTCTGTCATAACTCCTCTGTAGGCTGCCAGTGCAACATAGCAGCTGAAGCATTCTGCTCCCTGAGAGGTAGTTGTGAAGTGGTCGAGATACTGTTGCAGTTCACTATACTCTTCAGGGGCAGATTTTCAAAAGAACCCTGCACCTCCCATTTAATCTCCTAAATGAAGAGGTCAAATTTAAAAAGGTGTCTTTACCCAGTATTTGCCATTGTACTGAATGGGAACTGGTGTGTGTTGAGCAACTTTGAAAATCTGACCCTGCAGCCTCAAATTCATTTAATTAGTAATAATAATAATAGTTATTTCTATTCTGGTAGTACCCAAAGGTCTCAGGCAGGACCAGGAACCCATCCTGCTAGCTTCATCCTCTGGACACCGTAAAGATGGGTCACTATGCACAGTATTTAACTGTCTTGGAGCAGTGACCTGTCCTTCTGTTTTTCTGTAAAGTACAATGCACACAAGTGGCTCTTACTAAATAATAAATAAATAGCAATAGTTGTAATGTTATATGGAGTTAAAGGTGCTTAGGAGTAACAATAAAGTCAGTATTGCCAAGCCCAAGCATTAAAAAAATCATGAACTAGTCTCCCAAAAATGTTGAGATGGGCTTAAAAAACATGAATTGAAATATATATATACATGCTTTGTAGTTTTTGAGTCTTGGGGTTCACTTGGGTCTTATTATTCTCTTATAATTGCTTGATTCTAGGAGCTGTGCTCCTAAGAAAACCACCAGATATCACAAGACTTTCAATAAAATTGCAAGAGTTAGCAACACTGTACAGTAGTTTTATGTAACATATTAATCTAATAATACCATTGTCACCAATGGCTAATGCTGCATTTGTGCTCACGAGTCCAGGAGCAGACAGAATGAGAGGTGCAGGTTCATTGAACATCTCTTTAAACCCTACAGATTCAGCCATGAAGTAACAAACCTCTAATAGCAATATTTAAATTGCAGTCTAACGGGGGGAGTAATTGTAAAATTATTGTGTGTGTGTGTGTCTGTGTTTTGTTAGGGTTATATTTTCTTACTTTAACGTAGAAACAGATTTTATTCCTCTTGGCATTGCATTCAATACAAATATAGATGGATGAGCTGGCCTCCCTGTTACTTTAGCACCCCATTAACAAAATATTTTGAGCTAAGCTCTGAGTCAGAATCTTTATTAGTGGTCAGGTTGGTAGAAAGAATATGGCTGGATTTTGAGAGCCTAGACTGAGTCTGATGGGCTGACATTTATAACTGAGAATATCGTTTTTTAAATTGGGCAATGTGGAACTAAGTGAGCAAGGTTATAGAACCTGTATAGAACCTATACTTATTCTCCTTTACTTGCTTCCACGCCAAATTTACCCAGTTTAAAAACTGGTCTGAAAATCTACATTTGTTAATGCAGTCCCAAAGCTGTAGTAGTGACTGCCATTGCACTACCCTGGGATAAAATTTAGGAGATCTCCAGAGAGAGAGAGATCTATTCCTCATCTCCCTCAGCCTGATCCCTCTCCCTGCCTCAATCAATTTACTGTATGAGCAAACACATAGTCCTCCTGGAATTGCATTTACAGTATGCAAGGGAAATACTCTCCATGTGCATACTCCTCAAATTCTTCCTTCTCACTCAGCAGAACCACACTGGTTCTGCTGCATCTGGGGCCCCCGGTGACTGTGTGGAGAGGGGTCTGGATTTATCACAAATGAAATTAAAAATTTCTGTGTTATTTAGATCAATGGGCATTTAGGCTGGGTTTATAGCTTTACCTTCAACTTCCCTTTCCATCTGTTCCCTGAAATGTTGCATCAATTAAGGGCCAATAGCTACAGTAAGATAAATGTGTGCCATATTTTAGTGAATGTGTAGCACTGGGAACATGCTCATTCAGTTCCATATCTATAGAACCTACTCTGACTTGCAGAATTCCAAATTCAGTTATCTTTCAAAATTGCATCATCACAGAATAACGTGCTGACTAAGATGTTATTTTACCTATGTGCTCCTCAACTCCAATCTGGCATGTTGTAGCTGTGCAGTTTAAGCTCAAACTTACTTGTCTGTCACATCTTCCAGCTCTTTACACTTGACTTCAGCCGTCACCAAAACACAAACCTCTGACTCAGCTATTTATCTTTCAAAATATTTATTAATGCCATCACAGATCACAAGGCTTTCCTTGCCTGTTTCTTATTTTTAATGTATTTATTTACCTGCAGTTATAGTAAATTGTTAAAACATAGTTTTCTCTTTATAGGGAATAAATGGAAAAGATGGATTGCCAGGACCTCAGGTAGGAAAACATAATTTGCAATGTTAATATATTTCACAGATAATGTAACTGTTAGTCCTAGACAATTACTTTCAGCTGTGTTAATAAATTAATATATAATCAAGTTGTTAAGTAAGATATTTTACACTTTCAAAAAAATTTATTTTCAGGGTCTGATGGGAAGAGCAGGTGACAGAGGTCCCAAAGGAGAACGTGTAAGTCTTGGTGTAATAATCCTTTCTAGTATATACCATTATTTGACTTTGCTCTTTGGAGAACATCCAGATGTCTGTCTAGTATACTTTTAAATCTTCAAGACAAGAAGCTCAGGGCCAGAGTGGGGGGACTAGAATTTTAAAGGAAAAATTCAGCATTTGTGAAGAGAAAAGGTTTGTAACATTTTTTCCTGGCAAAGATGGCCTTGACAATATAAATCAATCACTAGGGTGGAAAGGAACAAGCAGCGAAGCTCTACTGCAGCAATAGGCAGCTGAGGGAGCAATAAAGATTCCCCCCTCCACTCCCCAGGACCCTGGCATGCACATATGTTTTACATAAAAGGATTCAGTTAAGTTTGAGTTGGGAAGTCAAGAAATCATCTCACTTAGGCAGCCCCGTGCATAGCAATGTGATTATGGTGCCCAGGAATCAGTTATATTTGGGGGAGGTGCAAAAAAAATTATTTTGCAGGCTTACCCAAAAATGCTAGTTCTGTCTCTGTCTCCATCAGCAGTTCTACACTGTTAATGTATCTGTTACTCAGAAATAAAGCCCCACAATTCCAATGTAACATCATCAACAACACAATTTAGTTGGAGAATGAGAAAATCCTGTCCCTAGGGTGGGAACGGTGAACTGCGGCCACTGGGAGCTGCGGGGGGCCATGCCTGCGGACGGTCAACGTCAGTGAAATGTCTCGCGGCCCACAATCAGATTACCCTGATGGGCTGCATGTGGCCCTGAGCCACAGGTTGCCCACCACGGCCCTAGGGTAACTTGTGAGGAGGAACTCAAGATTATAGTGTGGAGAAAGAATGAAGTTTATATCATTGTTAAAATAATTTCCACCTGTGTGGATTAACGTTTTGCAATTTTCTATTCCCGCCTTTAAAAATAAAGGACCCAAATGAAACTTATGAGCCATCTTCTTATTAAATGTTCCGCTACCTACAGTGTTATATTACTGTACCTTGACGGTATTCTTTAATTTTATTGACTCTCCATGTAATTAGTATCCATCGAGATAAAGATAAAGGAAAAGGCCACCCATACAAAGGTTGGACACTAAAACATACATTGGGTGCCCTTACAACTTTTCTGATTCTTTGAAAGTGTCAGCCAGTTCTAGCAGTACTCAAATATAATTGGCGGGATTCTGAGCAGTGTGGCTGCCCCAGAAGCAGCTTCTCTTCACCAATCTGCACAGTAGATGTTCCTGTGCTCCCTGCATTCTGCTACTAAGGAGTAAATTGCTAAAAAGGGGTAGGAGAGGGGGTCATGGCCCTTGCTCCTCTTTGCACCAGAGTTGGACTCTGACACTAGGGGGAGAAATCAGTTCCATCCTAGTGGATGGAATAGATTGTATACCTTTGCCCTCAAAAAAGCAATTATGCCTGTCTCAGCTGCTCTTCTTGGAGCACAACTTGCCACTGTGTGGAAGAGCCGTACTTAAAACATTCATTCACTTTTTAGAGATAATGATGGTTCCAGTGGTACTTGCCATTTTAATTATAAAGAATCTCTCACAATCTGTAAAACAGAAGGACCATGAATGCACCCACTGTACTACTGTGTTTACAGAATGAGGATGAAATTAGCCTCCTCTATTGGAATCGCTTTTTCAAATTCTGCAGTTGTTCTGCAAACACTAGTCCCATTGATGTCAACTGAAGATTTGCATGGGGAACAATTGCAGAATGTACAATAGAAGTCTGCATTGCAGATAAGAGATCCACAGTGCCAATTGGAGAGGAGAAATTTAGTTGGAGTTAGGTATTAAAGCCCTGCTCCTGTTAGAGAGATTGCAATGATAACAGAAAATAGCACAAGTCAGTCCATTCTGCAACAGTGATTATACTGCCTCCCTTGATTTCTTTCATTCTTAGCCCCAATATACCTTCTTCAGGTTGAGAGCAGCTGTAATGATTATAAAATAAGAGAAGTATCAATCCTTGAAGGGCAGAATGAAAAGGAGAAAATGTTTATAGTGTTGACAATTTCATATCTAAGTCTTTGTAGAGTCCAGTTTGAGAAGGAATGGGACCAAGGTGGATGCATGCAGGCTGAGATAACTGTACATACCCTTAGGTGATTAGACACTGCAATGATAGGTACTTTATAAATGGCATACAACTTGAGATGGCACTGGATGCCATTTGGGGCGCATCTACCATACATTCAAATCCTAATGACTAAGTCACTTCATTTGGCTCTGGCATTTGATTTGCCTCATGCACCCAGAATAAAGTCATGTTGGCATCCTGTGAAATAAGAATCAGTTTAAAAAAAAATGCTATTTCAGGACTTCAGTTAATTTTGGGTGTTATGTTATTGGTAGAAATTCAGAATCACTTTTTTTTATTAAGTTAAATATGCCCAATATAGTATTTTTAAATTGCTATGGTAATACTAAAATATTGTAGACTCCCAGAAGTGCTTCTATCAGATCAGTTGTGCCCTGCAATAGAACCTTTGTCAAAGAGAAATCAGCATTTCTAATTTTTTTGGTGAAACCCTTATCCATGCTTAAATTACTAAATTCTAAACCAGTAAAATGGTAATTATACATATATTTGTGTTACTGAAACTCTTAAATCAGGCTTCTTGTAAATCTACTTTATTTCAGGTTGCTATTTTGTTCATAGTCTAGTTCAGGGGTAGGCAACCTATGGCACAGGTGCCAAAGGCGGCACGCAAGCTGATTTTCAGTGGCACTCACACTGCCTGGGTCGTGGCCACTGGTCCGGGGGCTCTGCATTTTAATTTAATTTTAAATGAAGCTTCTTAAACATTTTTAAAACCTTATTTACTTTACATACAACAATAGTTTAGTTATATATTATAGACTTATAGAAAGAGACCTTCTAAAAACGTTAAAATGTATTACTGGCACGCGAAACCTTAAATTAGAGTGAATGAATGAAGACTCAGCACACCACTTCTGAAAGGTTGCCGACCCCTGGTCTAGTTTGAATTCATAATGATGGCAAAGCAGAATTGGGTCTGTTTAAGTTTCTTCCAGGCCCAACTTCAATCTAAAAAAGAGAAATCATACTGATGGTTATTCTTCTTCCCACTTTCAATATTATACTCACTCCAGAACAGGATTTTCTCATCAATCTCATTTTAGAATGCTTCTCTGGCATTCAGTTTGCCAAGGAAAAACTAGTACATGCGGTCAGATACTTCAGTCCTTATTCAAGGAGAACTCCCATTAGAATCAGGAAGGAGCCCATTTTATGAAAAATGTAGATCTGTATCTGGGGATGGCATCAGGATCTTTCCCCAACTATGGATTTTTCAAGATGCTCCAGTCATTTCCTGTATGCTTTAGGAAGTCTGCAAGAGAGAAGCCCACTCCTATAAATCTTAGATGCTTCATACCTGGAGAAGACATTTTTAGTCTCCACTCTCTGCAGAGCTCCTAAACTGCATCAGCACTGGGCTTCTTCAGCCACACCCTTCAAAACAAGCAGCATCCTTTTCCTAGTCCCTTCCCCCCTTATAAGTTCCACAATGACTGAGACAAGGATTCCACTGGAACCTTCATTGCATTTATTATTTATTGTTAGTATTACTGTAGCATCTGGGCAACTAGTCATGGACCAGGACCCCACAGTTTTCTGCGCTGTTAAATCCTTGCACACCTTGCAAAGGTGAATTAGCTGAATTAACTATGTATGTGCAGCAAAGACTTCTTCAGATGTATTATATTTTTTTCACCCAAAAATATAATATGCATGCTCAGTAGACTTTTCCATGAGAACCTAAATGGTTGCAAATTAATGTGCTTCAGTAATACTGGCAGAGTAGCTTTCTAAAAAACATCATGTTAATATATTCTCTGAATACATAGCTATAATAGAATGGTATTGTGCCATTCTGATGTCTTAAATGTGCACTACTGTTAGCAGTTTGGGACAGGTTACATTGATATATTGGTTACAGGGTTGGGGATTCTTCTTCAAGTGTTTGCTCATGTCAGTTCCATTCTAGGTGTGCATGCACCCATGTGTGCAGCCGTCGGAGATTTTTGCCTTAGCGGTACCCGTAGGGCTGGCTGTGGTGCCTTCTAGAGTGCCGCTCTCATGCCGCTGTATATCAGGCACCGCCAGCCCATCCTGGGTTTAAGCCCTGCTCAGACTGCAGCAGGCCTATGCCTGTGAGTGACCCCCATAACAGCTGCCTTAAGTGCTTGGGGGAGTCACACGTCAAGGAGCATTGCTGGATCTGCAAGAACTTTCGGCCCCGCACCCAAAAGGAGTGGGATATTCACCTCAGGGCTCTCCTGATGGAGTCCGCCCGCCGTCCGGCTTCCGAGCCTTTCACGCAGGCTGCACCGAGCACCCCAGCCTTCTTGCGTAGCACGCCACTGGCACCTGGCTCTTCTCAGCACCGTTCATCATTGCCGATACCGAAGAAAAGGCTAAAAAGCGGTCTCCGGCACCGAGTAAGAAGGACCAGGGGTCATCCAGCAAAGGACCTGGGCCTGCCTGCCAGCCTTCTCCAGAGCCGCGCAAGTGTGCCTCCATGACCGGGGTTCTTAGCCCCCTTAAAGGTCCACCACCAACTCCTGAGAGTGGTATGGGACCCACAACCTTGCCTGCACCATCATCATCCCAAGCCCAGGCACGTAGAGAGCGCAGGTCTCCACCTGCTCCTAGGATGTCTTCGGTGCTGCAGGAACAGGCTAAGGCTCCCCGAGAAGGCAAGCCTACCGTGAAGACCCCTTGCAGGGGAGCAACACCAGTCACCAGACAAAAAATGTTGATCTCCACTGCATAGAGCATCTAGAGACAGGTCCCAATCTCGTCGTTGGTCGCTCTGACTCTCCTCCCACTCTCCTCGGTGCTACTGTCCGGCATGGGGTCAACGCTCCCCATGCTATGACCAACATCATTCACCCTCTCGACGATCCCAATTGCTGGAACCATGGGAATGCTCCCCATCTTTTGCTGGTTTCCATGGCACCAGTCTCCTCGACGCTGATCTCCCT